CACACTGACAGACTCACAAACACTGACAGATACACACTCAATGGCACACTTATTAATAGACACATACACACACACTTACTGACAGACACACACACACCATGACAGACACACACACTCACTGACAGACACACACTCACTGACAGACACGAGTGCCATCTTAACAACATTATGGGCCCTCGGGCAAAGCAGTGCACTGGCCCCTGCCTACATAACTCACAGGAATAAAAACATAAATTATAGATACAATTAAACTTTATTAGTACCTGCTACCTCCAACAAATGCAATACATACATACAATACATACACACAGACTGTTGAATACAGTCACAGACTGCTGAATACATACACACACCGACTGCTGAATACACACACACAGACAGACTACTGAGTACACACAGAGAGTGCTGAATACAAACACACAGACACACAGACTGCTGAATACATACACACAGACTGGTGAATACATACACACAGTATGCTGAATACACACACACACACAGAGACTGCTGAATACATACAGACTGCTAAATGAACACACACACTGCTAAATACACATACAGAGACTGCTGAATACATACAGACTGCTGAATACACACATAAAGCAATGAGGGATGTTTGTGTGTACGGGTGCAGTGTGTGTGTGAGTATGGAGTGCTATGTGAGTGTGTGAGTGTGGGGTGATGTGTGTGTGTGTGGAGTGCTATGTGAGTGGAGTGCTGTGTGTGTGTTGCAGAGTTTGAGGGGTGCAGGTAGCAAATGTTTTTTGTTTTTTTAATACTACTATACATTCAATAAAATCTCTATGTCCCCCCCACCCTTCTTCTTACCATTAGTGAAAGCGGGGGGTCGGGGATACAGCCAGCCCTGGTGGTCCAGTTGTGAGTTCTGTACAGCCTGCAGCTCGTCTGGCTGTAGGCTGTCTCCTGTTCTCTTGCGTGCAGAATGCTGTGTGGAGCACAGCCTGCCTGCGGGAGGAGCGATCTGCCTTACAGGTCGGCCTCTCCTGCAGCCCTGGGTCCTAGCTCCCTCTCTCCCTGATCGAAGGGAGATCTCCCTCACCGGCCCGAGGGGGCCCACAGCCAGAAAACAGGGCCGCCTCTCCATTGGCTGGTAGGAGAGATCAAAGGATCCCCCCTGTTAGCCGGGCACGCTGGGCAGCGCGGTGGGGCCCCCATGCCAGCGTGCCCATGCGGAAAGACGGCCCTAACAGAAACACACACTTACTGACAGACACACACACACTTCCAGACACATACACTCACTTCCAAACACACACACACTTATAGACAGAAACACACACTCACTGACAGACACACACACACACACTTACTGACAGACACACACACACACACACACACTTACTGACAGACACACACACACACACGCTCACAAATTAATTTTATTGCTTGTTGATCCTACCTTTAGGAGTCCTCTGGGTTCTCTCCCCGGGTTCCAGTGGCTTTCATGATTTTCTTGCTCCTCTCTGCTCCCTCGCACTGTTTAGTGATGTGGGGCCAGAATGACGTCATATTCCGGCTCCCGGCATCATTAGAGAGGGCACGCGAGGGAGCAGGAAGATCATCAGCACAGCCGGCGCGCCCCGGCCGCCTGCCTGCTTCCTCAGCCGGCCGATATATTGCTGCAGAATAGGCACCTGCTATCTGGGACAAGCAGTTGCCTACTATGCCTTGCTACGGAGGTGCCCTTAGGTGGCCAGTTGGCCACCTGTTGGGCTCCATGTGTCAGGCCATCAGCCTGCTCCACGCGGTTCCCCCACCACCTGGCGCCTGGGCATGGTGCACCCTGTGCACCCGTTTAGGATGGGCCCTGCAGTGCGCATTTTTCAAATGATTTGGGGCGGCCTGGGGGGCAATAGCCTCCCTGCCCCCTGGGCCAGCCCACCCCTGTGTAAAGGGGAGATGCAAATTCAATAGAATTGCCACTACTCTGGATTTTGACCCGGTTTAATTGCTGAAGTATCCCTTCGGGAAGTGTTTGTTTCTAAAGGGGGTGCGGAAGTGGGTTTCTTGTATAAACACCACCTCTGCCTTTTGCTTGTGGTAGTCAGCAAGGGCCATGTGGCGTTTTTCAGGAGTGTTTAATCCCCTTGTGTTGTGTGAAATAATGGATACTGATGCCATCTTATGCACCGTGAATGAAGGGGAGGTGCAGGATACTATAGGATTTAACTCTTTTTGGGTCACTCTGGAGTTTCACTTACTTTGTGAGACTTGGTGCAAAGCTTAGGATGCAGGTACAAGCGTAAATATAAGCATAAAATAAATCAATATAATAACATTACAACAATACAATAACTATATACATCAGGTTGGTTCTTTGGTTTGTTCAGCGGTTTGGTTGATAGGTGAACCGAAAAGTAACAAATTAGGCTGGTGTCAGCCCCTGTAATATTCCAGAATCTACAGACGGCATATAAAGTGGTTTGAGACACCGCCAGGAGTGTAGGGGTGCGGTATGCGTAGTATGTTGTGGCTTTGTGTGTGGTTGTGGGAGGTATGTGGTTATGTGGTGGTTCATGTAAGCGTGTTTTTGTTGTATGAAGTATGCAATATGCGTGTAATAAACTGTGTGTATGGCATGTGGTGTGCTCGCAGGCACTATTGTGTAATCATATTGGAATTTTTGTGGAGGTGTGAGAGTTTATCCAACTGGTTGGGTGTCCCTGTGATGCGTCATGAGGGTCCAGATGAGACCGAGGAAGGTGAAATATATAGACACCCCCCCTTTTTTTATTATTTGTTTTTTTGTGTGTGTATATGCGTGCAATGTTCCCCGTTGCTGCCCGACGTTCCGAGGTCACCCCCTGCAACACCATGTTGTCGGCATTTGTGTATGTCTGAATCCCACACTTACCCATATGGATTATAAGTGCAGTTTGGTGCCGTTTGTGCCCTATTAAGCAGTATATCACCAGTATTTCTGTTTTGGATAAGATATACGACCTGAGTAGTCCCAGTTGGCCGGTGTTGGTATGTTCTGTGAGTATTAGTCCATTGATGCAGGGAGTCCGACTCAGGTCACAGTCAGCAATATGAACCATCTAGCTGATGCCCCGTGGGGATGTAGTGTGTAGTTTTTGTCATGTGCTTTAAGAGGTATGTTTCTGGTGAATGAACGTATGTGTGGGTTTTTTTACCCACTTTTTGCAATAGTTTTGTCGCTGGTATTTGTTATGAAGAGCATGTTGTGGTTCAAGTCTGAGTGTTTATTTCTGATTATTTATCTGGGCTGCTTGCATTATCTGTGTTTTTAGAGGGGGATTGGGGATTAATTTGGGAGAGATAATGGCGATGGAAGACAATGATAGACAGTGAAGGTAGGAGGACCATTATGTGCAAAAGGTGAAAATGTATTAAAAATCGCAAAAACTTTCATCGCACAAACACACACTGACTCTCAGAACAAATACATTCCTGCATTTGCACCCACTGACCTTCTACTTAAATACTCCCCTACATGTACATACACACCCCAAGACTTCATAAAACGGCATCCCTGCGTTCATACACACCAACACTCCCCTGCATTTACACACATTGGTCACTCCCCTGCATTAACACATTGGTCTGTACACACAAATATACCCTTGCTTTAGCATACACATGGCACTTTGGATAAACATACGCACCTACATTTACACAAACACTCTGTATGAATACACTGCTACATTTGCACTCACTGATACCATAGCTCAAATACACTACTGTGTCTACAAACACTCACTGACACATCATACAAATACACTCCCAGCATTTGAACAACATGCACATTGATGCAAAAAATAAATGGTTGAAGAACTGCACACATAGCTTACTCACAAAAAGGTGTAGTGGTTATGGTACATGGAGTGTCAGTTTTGGTTTACTAGCCATGATTTTAATAAATAAATAAATAAATATATGTATATATATATATATATATATATATATATGTGATTATATATATATATATATATATATTTATATAAAATCACACATTTATACACACACACATTTTGTACACATACAAACGTTTGTACACACACACACATTTTGTACACACACACACATTTTGTACACATACACACATTTGTACACAGACACACACATTTTGCACACACACACACTTTGTATACACACACAAATTTTGTACACACACACATACACACGCACATACACACATTTTGTACACACACACACACATTTGTACACACACACATTTTGTACACATGCACACACACACACATTTTGTACACACACACATTTTGTACACATACACAAACACATACACACATTTTGTATACACACACACACATTTTGTACACATACGCACTTTGTACACACACACACACATTTGTACACACACACATTTTGTACACATATGCACATTTGTACACACACACACATTTTGTACACCCACACACATTTTGTACACACACACACACACACATTTTGTACACACACACATTTTGTACACCCACACACATTTTGTACACATACACACACACATTTTGTACACACACACACACACACACACACACACACACATTTTGTACACCCACACACATTTTGTACACATACACACACACACACACACACACATTTTGTACACCCACACACATTTTGTACACCCACACATTTTGTACACACACACACACACACACACACACATTTTGTACACCCACACACATTTTGTACCCATACACACACACATTTTGTACACCCACACACATTTTGTACCCATACACACACACACACACACACACACATTTTGTACACCCACACACATTTTGTACACATACACACACACATTTTGTACACACACATATTTTGTACACCCACACATATTTTGTACACATACACACACTGAAGAGTAAGTTTATACACCAGCCCTGATTCAGTGGGAAATTAATGCCATTTGCTCCCTTCCCCATTACTAATTTAGGCAATGGGAGTGTTGCCCAGAGTTATTAATACACAGAGCATGACTGTGACTGGCACCTGACAGGTGGCTCCTGCCCACTGCCGGCTGGGTATAAAGCCTGCCCGGCCCGCGTGTTTCATTTTGTCAATGAAATAGCCGGTGGCAGCAGCGGAGCTAGCCAGAGCTAGAGAGCGAGCAGGAAGGACCAGTCACTAGCCATGCGGCGAGTTATCATCGGGATCGGGGGGTAAGTGAACGGCTGGCTATGTATTAACCCTTGGCTTTCCATCCCTGGCCCTGGGGAGGTAGGTCCTCCTGCTAGGTAAGTAGCTCACAGCACTGGGTTACAATTAACACTGGACATAATGTAATATAAATTAGAACTTTTTTTATTATTATTTATTTATTTATATATATGTTAAATTTATTTATTTATTTATTATTTATATTTTTTATTTAAAAAAAAATATTTTTCCCTTCCTAAATCTCAGTAATCTGTAAATAAAAAAAAACAAAAAAACATGAAATTAAAAAAAAAATTACCCCCTTAATTTCAAAACTCACTTTAACCCTAAATGTCCCAGTGCTGCGGCAAAGTCCCTAACTATTAAGTGGAGTGTGACGGTAACTGTGCTTGCCTTACTGCACACAGGCTTTTCAGACATATGGGTGGCGCGGTAGTAGGGGTTTTGGATGGCGAGGGAGGTGGGGGTTCTGATGACAGTGGATGGGGTTTTGGATGGCACAGGACGATGGGGGGTTTGGTTGGCGAGGGAGGAGGGGTTCCGATGACAGTGGAGGGGTTTTGGGTGGCATAGGACGATAGGGGGTTTGGGTGGCGAGGGAGGAGGGGTTCCGATGACGGTGGAGGGGGTTTTGGGTTTCGCAGGACGATGGGGTTCGGTTGGCGAGGGAGGAGGGGTTCCGATGATTGCCGAGCTATGAGGGACACTCATTCTGATAGGATAGGGCATGTGACAAAAACACCGGTTAATGGTGACCATGAGAAGTGCTCACTGAATGTTATAGGGATATTAATGTGCTGTCCAGCATCACTCTTAACTTCATTCCTGACTATACGGGGGAAAAAACCCAACAACTTGGTTTTAACCATAAGCTAGATCTTATATGAACAAGGCTGAAGTGGGTTTCTTAGAAAATTAAATATAAACCGCTGTTCCAGCACTGTGAAACAGTTCTCCACTGAGCCCAATCCTCCCCAAGCTGCGTGATGCTAGGTGAAAGATGGGCTGAGTGGAGAACAAGTGCGCTACGGAGGGGTATGTCAGCCACCAGCATCCAGTGTATCCAATACACAGAACCGATATTAACTAGTCCGGAACTCCTGTTTCAGGCTGGCTAATTTTAGCTGATGGAGGTCAAGCTACACCTCTGGCAACAAAGGCCTTAAGCTCCATCTTCCCAACAAAATGCTGCACATACAGACTCCAGGCACCATTACCACTTCAAATCCGTAAGAGGTCATGGTTCTTGGCGTAACCCATTAAAGTAAAAATGGTTTAGATGATAAAAGTGGCCACTACATTGTTCGTGAATATAATGTCTGGTGTTTGATACAATAAAAGTGGTTATAAGGTTGATTGTCCGATTGGCTTTGAAAGTATATTGAGTCGAAAACTAAATAGCAAAATAATTGGGTTTTTTTTGTTTTTTTTATGAACAATTTCGTTTAAAGAATACACTTCCCTGTCATTTGAATTAGTTGACCAGTATGAACTGTATTTATTATACACCTTGACTATCGGTGAATTTTTCTGTCTAGCTTGTTTGCAGTCAGTTTTGGAGAGTTGTAGCATTAAGTCAATGCACATATCTGACCGTGTAATAAGCCAAAACCATTGTCAATGCGATGCCATTACTTTCTCGTATTGAACAATTGTAAATTTTAATACTTGGAATCTGTCCTTTTTTAGGGTTACAAATGGTGGGAAAACTACCCTCACAAGGAGATTAATAGCTGCTCTTCCTAACTGTTGTGTGGTCCATCAAGATGACTTTTTTAAGGTAAGCTGAAGTGGTATGAATTTTTTTTTTTTTTTTTTTTAAATTCTTTTATATATCTTAACGCCTTAAGGAGCAAACATCTGGAATAAAAGGGAATCATGACGTGTCCTTAAGGGGTTAAATATATATACACACTAAAGTGCTTGCTTGCATTGTGTGTACTTACCGTCAAAAATCAGTAATGTCATCTCTCACTCTTTCAGAATTATACACATTTCAATAATTCGGGATTGATGATAAAGAGTCACTCTAAGCACTATTACAACTTTGTATTACTGCATGGCACTTAGAATCCCCCATTACTGTGTCATAACTGCAGTGTTTTATAAATATGACTGGATGTAAAAAAAAAAAATGCTCTTTGTATCAGGAGATTACATAGGACCCTGCCAACATATGCGTGCATTTCTGAGCGTGGGCCACAGTTATGCACATGCAAGGTTGGTGGATCAGATGATTTCTATACACAACCCAGTTCACAAAACTGCAATATGGCTAAGCTACATATCCCTGCAGAGGTGTGCAGAAAAAAAAAACTGCATGGGGAGGTCTGTTGTGCAACGTGCATCTGCAGTTGCTGCAATTTTCATATCTCCTAAAGAAGTACTTTTTAATCTTTTTAATTTGGCATATTTATTTAATGTTTTACTTGTATAAATCATTACAATGGGCTGAAGGCACTTCCTTCATATTATGACCCTTTAACCTGCATAATTTACTATACTCGTTTTTAAGAAGGCAATTTTCCCTCCTTTTGCAATAAATGGCTCTTGGTTGAGAAAGTGGTGTCCTGTTCCAATAATTTTATAGAATTAATACAGCTTGTAAATCCAGTAAACTGGATTTAATGAAATTGAATGTATTTTTTTTTTTTTTTTTGAAACTTTTGATAGTTTTAAATATTTTAATATGGAGGACGGAACCTTTGCATTAAAACCGTATAAAGTTTGCTCGTGTCCGTTTTCTGTGTATCCATCGCTGCACGGTTTGCATTTGCAGCATTGTTTATTGCTCACTATGTTTCAGCCGCCAGATCAGATAGAAGTCGGTGAAGACGGCTTTAAACAATGGGATGGTAAGACCCGTGTTCGCTGTAGCAAGCAGTAATGTATACGTACCTACTTTTTATTTTTTTATTCTACAACATATAACTATGGCAAACATGGTATATTTCATGTATCCAGCCAGGAGTGCTTCTTACCATGTATTTGTTTTACCCACAGTGATTACCTCTATTGATATGGAAGCCATGGTGAATACCGTCACAGCCTGGGTCGAGAACCCTGTCAAGTTTGCCCGTTCCCATGGAATTGCCGGTTCTCATCCATATGAACAACAAGAAGACGACGAAATCCAAATACTTATTTTAGAAGGATTCTTGCTTTACAATCACAAGTAATTGAAGTTCATATTTTTATAACCTCCAATGCTGAATATGTTTAGGGAGTTGTGTGTGTAAATTTTTTTCAATTTTTTTTTTAATACTATGTAAATTCGGAGGGGTGTGTTAAAAAAAAATGTGGAGCTCCAATGAGCTGATTGCCTTTTTTTTTTTTTTTTATCTTTTTCTGACATTACTTGCAAAAAAAGCAGAAGACAAGTGACTGCCCCTTTAAAGGGACACTCCATGCAGCACTTTAAATTTAGCATATTAATAAGGCCTAAATCTATGAAATGCACTAAAGTAAAACATTTATTTTTTGCACGCTCAAATCTTTCTAGTTTTTGCACAGCATAAATAAATGTAAGCCTGCCTCCTTAGCCATGGTAGTTGTCTGTTTATCAAATTTTTCAATGGATTGCATGTAAACTGTCTATACTCATCCTTTCTCTACAGACCACTGGCAGAAATGTGCTCCCGGCGATATTACTTAACCATTCCATATGAAGAGTGCAAGCTGAGACGCAGGTAATACACCTTTTTAAAGATTCTAAAATGTGCCTTATTATTGTGAAAGGAAGTGTATCCTCTAAGAGTATGTGGGATGGGATGGTGGGCGTGTATACAGATTTGGGGCTAGACCAAAAAGTATTCAGGGCCATAGTTACATGTTAGACTGTGTTCATCCTTTAAAAGTAAAACTGACCATTTCCAATTAATCTTTTCATGTAGTGGTCGCAATTACCGCGTGCCAGACCCTCCAGGACTCTTCGACGGACACGTTTGGCCCATGTATTTGAAGCATAGGCAGGAAATGGAAGATCAGGGTGTGGCTTTTGGTAAGTTGACGGCTTTTAGATTGATCTAAATATTGGACTTTTGGATATTCTAACACATGGTACAGGTTTCTGTAAATCGAACCGCTGACCAATGCTGCGGAAAGAGCACCTATTTATAGTAGCTGGCATTGCTTTAACAGTCTGAGTAAGGCGTGCAAGTGGAGCTCCGAAATCTGCTGCATAAAGAAACTAATAAATCTAGCTGACCTTAAATGCTAAATATATGTTGGACAGCAGTGGGAAAAGGAAAAACTAAATTGTAAGTTTAACACTAATGGAAACTCTGTTTCTACATCTTGTGTTTTGCCATAACCATCTTCTGCGAAACGACATGCTACATTGTCCACCCTTACAAAAAAACAACTCTAAAGCACTTTAGCTTCCAGAATTACTTTGTGTGACGATAAATAGGTCAGTATCTCAGATGCAAATAGAAACTGGCACTTTGACAGCTATGGGGGATTAATTTGTAAATTGGGCAACTGGTAGTTTAGCTCAGAGTGCACCTGCCTTGCAAATAGTTCTTATTGAGCTGCACTGGAACGTCTGTGGTTACAGCCAAAGTCTGCCCTGTGTTAGAAGGGTAGAACTTGCAAAGGTTGTAGACGAGATCTGATGGTTTTTAGATCTATCCCAATTAAACAAAATGCATATTTTTTTGCAGCCGTGTGTTTCTTTAAAGGGACACTATAAGCACCCTGACCACGTAATCTTCCTTGAAGTTTGTGTTCCGTGTCCCTGTACATTACAGGACTAAGACAGCTTCTAATGGCTGTCTATCCAATGGCTGTGCTTCCTGAAGTTTAACGAACTCTGGGTCTCCTAAAGGACACACTGTCTTCCATGCTTTGCATGAGGACATTCAGGGTCAGTGAAAATTCCATAGGAAAGCCTAATGCACAAGCGCATTAAGACCCCCTGTTGGAGGAGGAATTAGGGATGTAAATTACTGGGTTTTTTAAATTTATTTTTTTACCCTTTATCTGCCATTAAGGGAAGTCTGGGGACAAGAAGCATTATATTATTAGGAATACAGATTTGTATTCCGAACCCCATAGAATCCCTTTAAGAGCCACTGGAGGGATAGTTCCATCAAAGGATGCTGATCTACTTAAACAGCAGATACGTTTAAAGTTGGTCTGATGAAAGTGCTCTAAATGTACAAAATTGTTTACATTTTTTTTTTTCTGCAGTTTCCATAGATGGCCTTTTGTCAAAAGATGACATCTTCAATCAAGTCTACACTGATGTCTGTAACAAGATTTTAAATATTTCATAGTTCACATAACTACTGGTGTCTGCCTCTGTAAAAAGAAAGCAAACTATATATCTGTATATCTGCAAACTATCCTGCTCACGATTATTTGTATATAATGAGTAACGTATATGCTGCTATGAATGTGGTTTCAATATTTTATATTAAGGGAAGGGTTTTTATTTTATGATAAAATTTTAAATTGAACAGAATAGTTTCTCTAGGATTAACCTAGTCTTACATCACATCTTTGTGACATTTGGATCTAATTTACTGTTCAAATTATTAAAGTGATGAATCAGAAAATATGTGTGGCTTTATTAAAAATCCTAATTGATTGAAATTTTGGAAGCAAACAGAATATTGCTTCTGTGTATGTTAATTGTGGGGAGGGCTTAACATATGCAAGCCTGTAAAAATGATATAGTAATTTTTTACGTCTCCACTTCCTTTCAATGGGACAGTGGTCTCCCTAACCACTAGTGCTGCTACAATTTTTGGTGTACTACAAAGTGGTATCGTTTTGACAAAATCTGGAGGGAATGCACTGCGGGACTCCTCGCACGATAACATTACAATAAGCTGTAGTTTCTACTTAATTGACACTTAAAGTACCAGAACCACTACAGCAGACCCTCAACAATGCAAACACTGCCCTTTTCAAGGATAGGCAATGTTTGCATTGCTTGCCACTAGAGGTCCTTCCTGGTGTGGTACTGCAACCTTTGCTGGACTGATATTTGCGGTCTTCATGCTCTGTATAAAGAAGAGTAATGCTCCACGCTGCAAAGCATTGGATTGGCTGAGATAATCTGTAATGATCGCAGCCAGGGGAGGAGCAATGGGTGGTGGGGAAGAAAGGCAGTTAAAGCATTTATTAGGGGGACTATCTAAATGGCAAAACACTGTTAGAAATACGTTTGCATTCATGACATTAATGTTCCTTTGTAAGGGATTATTCAGACCTCAATCAGAGATTAAAGTATCTGTCTGCTGTACATATTCCTCTTTTAAGGCTCTTACATACTCTCGCATATTGAGCCACACACTGTACAAATGTCTGCGTTGGTCATATTTAGCCATGCGCCCCCCAGCTTGTGACACATGAGTCTCGAACTGTCTGCAGAAGTTGTGGAATCTTAATCCCAGCAGGCGAGTTTGGGAGCAATCCAGTAAGTGCCAGTTTCTAGCAGGCTACCCATCCCTCCAGTGTCTGTTTCAATGGAACGCAGAGTCACGATTTGGCACTTTAATCATGTAACTGGATAATACTGTGATGTAGTAACTAAACACTTTTCGCTTGCTCTATAGTAGAAGTTTATCTAATTCTAGGTCAGGACCAGGGCTGATTCAGCTAGGTCACCCCCAGGTCACAGATAGACCTTATTGTGTGAATGGTAAATGTTTACACGGTGCTGTGCACCCAATACACATTAACATTGTGGGTTCTACAGATGTGGTTGCACCCAGGAAAATGCATTTATATATTTTTTTCATGTCCTGCAATTACAGAGAAGTGTATAGTATGAGAGGGAGCAGCTGTGGCCATTTACATAGATTAGTGATAATATTGGTACATTCTTGAATGAGAGAGCGGCTGGCTGGCACCCAGTAGCCAGGTGCCCACCAGGAAACCATGCATTTGCTCCAACTAATAAAGGTGATTGCCCATGCTTTTAATGAAGTTCCTGTAACTATACAGTCCCAGCTATTAAAGCCCCTCTCACAGAAAGACAATATCCCCTCCCACCACAGTTTTGCTTAAAATAATTTATGCACAACTAGAGAAATTACTTCTAATAGTTTTTTTTTCCCCCTAGTTTAAAATGTAAAGTTAAATCTGGCGATGGAGAAAAGCATGGATAAGTGAGCTGGGAGAAATGCAGTATATGCCAACGGGCGCCTATGAATAACTGACCCTTTTATTTCATGTTTATTTTTAACTTTTTGAGGCATCAACTTTACTATTTCTTTTTTTCTTCTTTTATTTAAAAGATCCAGAAAAGGGGAAAAAATTTGTTTAAAAAAAAAAATGTACATCTTCATATTAATTTCAGGAAAAGTAATGTATAAACGAAGAATTGCACACATTTCATTCAGTTCGCATGACTGCAACATTTAGTATTAGTGACATTAAATAAAATATAGGTAAAAGAAAAAAGGCAAAATGTAAAAATAATTCATAAGGAACCTCAAATTACATCTCTGCGCTGTTCCTTTAACTGTAGTTTGTATATGTCTTGGTCTTTATGGCCGCACCTCTGCTTGGATATGCATGTTCTGGGTGTGCCCAGGGCCGGCGCGTCCATAAGGCGGCACAGGCGGCCGCCTTAGGGCGCACCGGCCCGGGGGCGCAAATGTCCGAGTGACCGGCAGGAGGGAAGCGCACAGCTCCCCTCTCCTGCCGGTCACTTCTTGTAGCGTGGCCGAGCGCCACCCTGCAGTGCCGCGGACTGTGTGGAGGGGGCGGGGATATGAACGTCATATCCCTGCTCCCACTGTAGCACACAGCGCGGCTGGCGCCCAGCAGGGGCGGAGCTACCACTGGCCCCCTTCTAATCAGCATGGGAGGAAGTCCTCCCAAGAAGACTAGAGCAGCAGAAGGCAGAGAGGAGGGGGGCTGGGCAGGACCAGCTCCTCCAACTCCCAACTACCTCAGGCAGCACTTTGGATCCCAGGTAAGCCCCCCTCCTGAACCTGTTGGTCAGTGTGTCTGTGTGTATCCATGTCTGTCAGTGTGTGTGTGTGTGTGTATCCATGTCTGTCAGTGTGTGTGTGTGTGTATCTATGTCTGTCAGTGTGTGTGTGTGTGTGTGTATCCATGTCTGTCAGTGTGTGTGTGTGTGTATCTATGTCTGTCAGTGTGTGTGTGTGTATCCATGTCTGTCAGTGTGTGTGTGTATCCATGTCTGTCAGTGTTTGTGTATGTATATGTCTCTGTCCGTGTGTTTGTGTGTATCTAAATGTCTGTCAGTGTGTGTGTATGTCTGTTAGTGTGTCTTTGTGTATGTCTATCATTGTGTATGTGTGTATCTGTATGTTTGTCAGTGTGTTTGTATATGTCTGTCAGTGTGTGTGTATCTATGTCTGTCAGTGTGTGTGTATGTATATGTCTCTGTCCGTGTGTTTGTGTGTATCTAAATGTCTGTCAGTGTGTGTGTATGTCTGTCTGTTAGTGTGTCTTTGTGTATGTCTATCATTGTGTATGTGTGTATCTGTATGTTTGTCAGTGTGTTTGTATATGTCTGTCAGTGTGTGTGTATCTATGTCTGTCAGTGTGTGTGTGTAAATGTCTCTGTCCGTGTGTCTGTGTGTATCTAAATGTCTGTCAGTGTGTGTATGTCTGTGTGTCTTTGTGTGTTTGTGTATGTCTATCATTGTGTATGTGTGTATCTGTATGTCTGTCAGCGTGTCTGTATGTCAGTGTATGTTTATCTGTATGTCTGTCAGTGTTTGTGTGTATCTGTATATGTGTGTCTGTCTATCTGAATGTGTATCAGTTTGTGTATATGTATATCTGCATGTGCGTCAGTGTGTGTATCTTTGTGTATGTGTATCACAGTGTGTGCGTGTGTGGCAGTGTATGTGTATATGTGCATATATCTCAGCATTCAAACACCAACACTACACACAAATAAACACCTGCATGCAAACAACAACACTACATACAAACACACACCTGCATTCAAATGTCAACACTACATACAAACACACCTCTGTATCAGACACCAAAATTATATATAAACACACACCTACGTTCAAAAACCAACACTACACATAAATGCATGCTTGCATTCAAATGCAAACACTACATACAAACACACCGCTACAATCATACAAACATACTCCATACAAACACATGCTTACAGTCAAACACACAAATACTGCTCCATGCTAAATACAATACTGCAAGCATGGGGAATCGGTAGAGCCCCAGCTTTCAAAGCATTGTTGAAGTTGCATGACAGATGGGGATCTATCTTTTAGCCATCCTGTGTACATACACAGACCGTCATACAGAGACATACAGTATGTATGTCTCTGTATGACTGTGTGTATGTATTCAAAAGGAATAAACGCAGTCAACACTCCAATAGTACGGATGGTATATTTATTGATAGGTGAACCACCCCAAAGAAAGTGCGTTGTTTCAGCTCAGCAGAGCCTTATTGCATGAGCTGAAACATCACACTTTCTATGGGGTGGTTCACCTACCAATAAATATACCATCCTTACTATTGGAGTGTTGCCTGCGTTTATTCCTTTTGAAGACTTTACTGGTGGATCCAGCGATGTCCGCCTGACACGGAGCATCCACCACTGTTGATGGCCGGAGCATTTACACGGTATCAGTGTGCAGGGTTCTTTGTTTGTCTGTGTATGTATGTCTCTGTATGCCTATCTCTATGTTTCTTTATGTCTGTCTGTATTTCTGTGAGGGCCTGTGTCTGTATGAATGTATGTCTGTGTTTGTATGACAATGTACCTGTATGTGTAGATTGTATGACTGTGTTTGTTTGTGTGCCTTTTATGACTGTGTGTCTGTATATCTTTGTGACTGTGTGCCTGAAAAATTATGTCTGTGTGCTTGTATGGTTGTGTGTCTGTATGTTTGTGTATTTGTGCATGTATGTATTTTTGCCTGTATCTATGTCTATGTGGAAGAAAAAGAGAGATAGATAGGGGCTGGCGGGGAAGTAAGAAATACATAAGAGGTGTTGTAGGAGACACACTAAAGGGGGGTGTAAGGCACAAAGGGGCCAAAGGGATAAGACATTCAAGAGAGTGGATATGCAACACTAATGGGGGTAAGAAATTCAAAAGGGGGCTACGAGACACAGAGGTGAAGATGCATTGTATTTTATTTTTTTGGGGGGCGGGCGTCAAAATGCATCTTCGCCTGTGTAGTCAAAAATCCTAGCACCGGCCCTGGGTGTGCCCCCAATTCCCATTTTTTTCTGTGTAGATTTGGAATCCAGATCCGATTGCTTTAAGGCTGAGCAGTCCACCCATCCACTTTGGTTGCCCCTTTTGAGGTGACTACTAGAAAGCTTAAATTGAGAAGTCTCTTGAAGCAGTTTATGCTGCAAGTAAGTATTGCAAGTTACAAGTTGGCATGTAAATCTCCCATGTTAAAATTAGTGTAGTACCCACGATATTGGGGTACTGTGTCGTAGTGTGGTGGGCTTAACACAATATGGCCATATGGTGAAACTAAATCCCCATATTCATTTGCTAAAATAAGTAATTTCAAGTTGCCTTGTTAAATGTAAAGCTTTTTACATTAAGTTCTTTTGAGTGCGGTCATGCTATTTTTTTTAATAACCTACATAAAATGCAAACTAATTGAAAGGAGGTGTAAGGGTATAAGAAAAATACATTAGTAATTATGAAAATATGAGCAGAAAGGATTTACTGAACATTAGGAAAAATAAGAGAACAGAACAGGCAGACAATACGTTTATATATGTCTTCGTCACACAATACAATGTACAATATAAGAAAAATCTAAATAATTTTTAATAAGTATGGGCCATTATTACAGAAGGATCAGGTTTTGAGACCTATGCTACCAAACAGCTATCAATAATATATAAAAGGAATTAAAACGTGATCAATAACTTGGGCTAAAGCTTTGTCTGTCAGATGCAAGGCATATATAACTACAGAATTGTGACTATACATTGTATACTATGGGTTCTTAAATGATAGTCCTCTTGTTTACTAACAGTAGGTGTTCCGCTAAGAGTGTGATCACTTGGGCTTGAGAGCCAGGAAAGAGTGTTTTGTAAATATGGTGTCAGGTAGAAGCAGCTGGGACAATACTTGAAGGAGGCGTGGGCAAAGGGCATGGTACCTGTTTGGAAGAAGAATTGGGTAGAGGGGATGATACCTGCTAGCCCTATGGGTAGAGTTACCGTGAACAATTAGTATGGTGGTTTAGGTACCAAAAGAGAAGGGATGAACAATGTAGCAGGACAGGTCTCCCCTATTCCTGTTACATACATCTTTACATGTTGAGCGTGTTAAAGAAACCGTGTGCTGTATCTGTCTTTGTATTAATGATTTTCCCATCACCCTGCTTGATGACTGTCAGGAGAAGCTCTACACTGGAAATGGCATACCAAGCAGTTGGTTCAGGAGTTTGTGAAATAATGCCCAGTCATAATATACGTATGCCAGCTTTTATAGCACATTTAACATCAAGGGGTGGACTAGAGTACACACTAGGAAAATTCCATCACTTCATCATACGTACGCAAGGCGCTAGAGGTGAACAGCAATTAAGGACGTTGTAGTTTAGGACAGTGGGAATGTCACAGACCCAGATCAACAAGTAAGAGAAGAAAATACTTCGGGACACAGACAATACTAATACCTAACACTTATATACCTGCCTGGTGGAGGGTTGCAGGGAGAAAATGATGCTAGGTAAATAATCTGTATATGCATAAATACAGATCGTATGTATGTTGTATTGATCAGTACACGCAGTGAGAGTACATACTTTGTTCATGTATTCTGTTGCAACATCTTAATGTATATATATCTTATGTGTTAAATGCTGTTTTTGGTGTTGGTGTTTTTCCATGTTTCTTGTGGTATCATCTTGTTTGTCAGAATAATGAAAACTGCATGGTGGTCTGCAGCCATGTTTGTAAGGAGATAAAACTGTACACACTTTATTTCTGTAGAGCTGTTAAGAATGTCCAACACTATGTATGTTCTTTTGCACTCACTGCTGCTTGGGTCGTTTATATGAGCATTCCTTAGAAATCAGTAGACTGGCTTTGGCGGACCCTGTCCTTGTACCAGTATTGCCCCCTTGGAACTTATTCCTTAATCCCCTGGTACGGTACTTTCCCTTCTACCGAACAAATTGCAGAACATATGCTCCCTGACAGACGGCGGTCATTTTGTCAAACGAATGACCCCAGCGGTGGTTAGCCGCAAACGCCGTGAACCATATACGGACACTTGGCCATGTGGTTTCTGGTCTGCTTGCAGGACTGTTTTATTGCATTTGCTGAACTTCTAGGAGAGCGCTATTTAGAGGGAAAATACTACAACATATTTGGATCAATTGCTCCCAGAGAACCAGGGGGAGCCCCCTTTTGTTTGGCCACAGGAGTTCCCGATATTTGACCGCCCAAAGCCACCTTTGTGCTGGAACTGTTTTGTGCTTAGTCCTCATGTGCGGCCAGTCAAAACTTTACCTCAGTGGTGATCAGACAATTCTTTATAGTTCCGGGCGCTATTTTACCAACTTGGGCGCTCGGATGAGAGCTATCTGGGGATATAGGACATGTGGGGGTTCCTGTGTGTTTTTACTGTTTTATGGTTTATGTTTTTATGTTCAGCTCTCTGTATTCGGGAGATAATTCATTTTCTGGTCAGTAACTCAATTTTCTTCCAGACACAGAGACGCCTGGGCGGACACTATGTACAAAACAATGGAGAATCCATGCTGGGGTTTGTGCATAAAAGGCTGACTTTGGCTGAATAAAAACAGTTGTACTCCCAGAACTATGTGTTGTCTAGTTACTGCGGGGAAAGAGTTTTATTCACTGGTCATTGCTTCTTCTAGCTTCGAGGAGGATTTAGCGGAGATACCAAGTCGTGGTATTGGAGCTCTGCTATGTTGCTGTTTTTTTTTTTTTTAACCATAACTTTTATTGAGGGTAATTTCCAACACTATTATGAAACCATTGCCAACTTACATTCCAGAGAACTATCAGAATAATAAATTTAATGTTTTAGGCCAGGCACCATGACCACTTCAGTGATTTGAAGTGTTCATGGTGCCTTGAGTCTGTATACGCAGTGTTTTGCTTTGAAATACTATACATACCGAGTTTAACCCTTTTGTTGCCGGAGGTGTAACGTTATTGGATTGTCATCAGCCAGCCTGGAACTTTCGGATTTGGGCGCAAAGAAAATCTAATTAATTGGTTGAGAACTTGAGACCAGTCCGCTGAAGTCCAGTAACACACAATTTTAAAACTTCACCAGCTGTCAGTGAGTGTCAATGTGTTTTAAGCATGCTGCAGTGTTTATAGTGCCAGGAATTCCCTAGTGTCCCCCCACCCAATATAAGTAGTCAAATGACTTACCTGGGGTACTCAAGCACTGGCCATCTTTTCTATGAGAGCTGAAAGTTCTCTGCATTGAGATAAGCCTACAGTGCTGTACTTAGCTCATTGGCTGAGAGCAATCAGCTGAAATTCTCAGCCAAGTAGCCGGCTCTCCATAGAGGAAGTAACAATTCCCGACAGGATTCCAGATAAGGAGTCATACAATTATCAAATTGTTTGAATACCTACATTTGGGGGTGAGGGGGTAGGAATCAATGACAGGGAACTCATAGCACCATAGCCACTACAGCACACGTTAGTGGTAATGGTGTTTGGAATGTCCCTTTAAATATATATTTTTTATTTTTACCTCAATGCAGTGTGGACTCGAGGGGCCTGTATTTTATTAGTCACTTATATATGTGAGATGTCGGATTTCTCTCTCACTTTGCAGGACAATTATTGCAGGTAATATTACATTCACATCATTTTACATGCTCACTAAGCAGTGTGAATTACTGTATTATCAATGTTCAAAAAGCCGGATCGAGCAGGAATGAGCATGTACTGTAAACTGAGCAGACTATATTTATTCGGATTGAATGCTCGGCATAGCAAACTCTGAACATGACACCACCGCTGATTTGGAGGAGCAGGCAGGATGCACGAGAATTCTATGTGGCTGAAATGTAGTGAGTGGTCAGACGCACATACCAACATGATCTTCAATCACATGTAGAACTGCCTCAAGAACATCATACTCTGCTTAATCATGTCTTCTCAATGATAATGGTTCATTGAAGTTTGTATGACCAAGGTGCATGTGTCTTTCCTTAGTCTCCAATGACACATATTGTGACATAGGCGAAAAAGAGACATGCGTCCATCAATTTCGGCCTTTCTTACATTTGAGTTTTGTTGTTCATCCAAGAGAAGGAAAAAAAAAACAGTACGAGGAGCTTCCAATTTTGCAACAAACTAGGACAAATTCCTTCTTGCCCCCAGAATGGCAGTCGCATATCTCCTTGGATCAAGAAGCTGTTACCCCACTAATTAGAAATTATATCCCTGTCTATTGTGTTTTTGCAAGTATTCATCAAATTGCTGTTTAAAAGATCAGTATTTAACCCCATAATGACCGCGGATGTACAGGGTACGTCACACAAAAAACGGTTGTTAATGACTGTTGATATACCCTGTACGTCCGTGGCGAATTAGAACGCTGGAAGCGTGATTGTTTCCAGCTGCTCTAAGGGTATTGCAGCAATGCCTCCTGCAATATCCCCCCTCACTGCCAGACCACCGGGTGATCGCCTCACGTGGCGTCCGGCATCATGCTTCCAAAGCTTTGCCTGTGCTGAATGTCTTGAGGGATCGAGACACTCAGTGAAGAATTAAATAATAATAATTAAAAAAAAGATAACCCCTTCCCTCCCTCCCCCTCACACTATTCTCATACACGTTCCCCTGCCAGCGATCGGTGTTCTTCTCCACTGCGGGGATAGATATATATATTATAGATTGTCTTGTTGTATTTGACCCTGAAGAAGGTCCCGAGCGGGGACCGAAACATTGGTTGTCATTTTTAATCAATAATAATAAACTGAAGTTTTAAGTCCGGAGAGCAGCCTCCCTTATTGGATTGTCTATCTATTGGAGCCTTGGTCTTGCGCCCGGTAGTGGTATACTTTAAATGTGAGTGCTGGGGATCTATATATATATTTTATATATATATTATAAAAAAATAAATAATAATTTAAAAAAATGTAAAAATAATAAAAAAATATGTAATTTTATTCTTACTGTATTTTGATATTAATATATATATATATTTATATCAAAATACACTTAGAAGGAAATTATATATATATATATATATATATATATATACGTATATATAAATAATATGAAATATATATGTCCATATACATAATTACATAAATAATTTCATAAATATATAAGTAGACTTCAAATATATAAATATGTATATATATATTTACATTTTACGTGCATATTTATGTAATATTTTACATAATTTTTTTTGGGAATTCTTTATTTTTGGTGTGCACAAAAGTAACAATTCTCCTTGGTGCGCCACAACAGCGACATCAGGGTACAATAGTGAACATTTGCATTACAGGTTGTGGTAATCGATTGTCAAGCACATGTTTTAGTTAGAGATAACAAAATTGAAATAGTTTAGGTGCTCGATTATCATAAACATTTGGGTGTTCAATTCAATTGTAAATTATAAACACATTTAGTTCAATATCTTAAGATCAGTGTTCATGTTGAGTGTCATCGTTTCCGTCTCTCGATATTGGTTTTATTATGCTTATCTATGCGTAAGAGGTGGACATGCATTTTGTTTAGTGAAATCTGGTCTAAATAATCATAACAGATAATAGGCTAGACCGCAAGTTTACATTTCAAGTTATGCTAGGAACCTTGGCATTACGTGTTAGACAATTTCTTTGCGTAACATGCGGGACATATGAGTAACATGCACAGTTTTTAAGGTATAGAGTAAGTATATATGATAAACAAGCTTGAGCAGTGCAGTTGCTAGTCTATGACTGATGCAGGTAGTGCTGGTTTGCAACGCAAATTACTTAGACAGGCTAGTGCTATTAAAGCATAAAATGACATTCAGGCTAGGTCTCATGCAGTTTACTTTAGAAAAGTTGGTGTAGTCTACAGTAGGGCTACTTTAACTAAAGCAAATGGTCACACCGGTTAGTTAAGTATATCGATAGGTAAAAGCTTAAAACATGCGTTCATTTATCCACCCCAGGTTAACTCCCCGCCAGCTAGATAAGAATCAGTGTCTGTGTGCTGTGAGGCTTGCTTATGAAGTGTGGTGGCTACAGAAGGTCAAAAGCTTGGGAACTGCCATGTGAGGCACAGTCCAGGCAAGTAGCAGAGTGATAGTCCCCTTGTGGAGTACTTGCGAGTTGTTGCAGTGTCTGCCTCGGGTGGGAGTCATATCCCTGCGGCTATGTTGTTTTCAGGGTGACCTCGCAGCTGCGGGCTTTCGGTCCGTGTGAATCTGCTTCCTCGCGGTGCTCTAAGAGGCTCATTGTGCAGTGCTTCATCGCTGGGGCCATGTCTCTCTCTTCGAGGAACCACTCTGTGAGTGCTCGTGGGTGTGCCTGAGTAGTAGATCGCTGGTATCGATCTCAGCTTTATTGCTTTGTATTAGGCTGGTAGAATAACAGTGGGTGCTGTTCTCTTTAGCTGTGCAGTATTCCTCACTTTTGAGCTGGTGTCAGCTCAATCGCTCTAGCAGCTCGCGCACATGGCGGCGGCCATCTTGTGGACTGGCGCCCGTGTGTTGTTCCCCGCCAGGGTGGTTGAATAAGCCCAGGTTGGTGCGCTGGGTAGTGCTGCTGCAGACCGGGATGACCCCCCCGGTCCAAAAGGGGGGGGGACACTAGCCACCGGCCAGGAGACAGGGAGGGCGGCCGTCCCTTCCCAGCTAAAGCCCCAACGAGCTCTGAGCCCAGCCGGGTTACTGTCGGTGCCGGACAGGCTCCCTTGCGGTATCCCCGTTCTCCCCAGTGACTTGGGGTCTGTGTGGTCATCGGTGGGGTTTGCCGGTCACGGTTAACCTCCAATTTGCGCCGACTTTCGGCCCTGGAGCGGGAGCTCAGACAGAAGACGTCTGATCCCGTCGGCGGCCAGGCCCCAACCCCCATATTTTACATAATTAGGTAATTTTATTAATTACAGTTTGAGGTACCTGCCTGACATCCTAGGCCAAAAGTCCAGATAATTTAATTTGCTAGCACTGTATTTAACCCTGTAACTTTCTATGACACCCTAACACCTGTACATGGGGGGTACTGTTTTACTCGGTAGACTTTATAATATAAATGCGAACTTTGGCAAGTGTTTGTGACTAAGTGGCTACTAAAATTGATTGATATATAATACAGAATGCACACTATGACAACATAGAGACGTACAATAAGACTTTATTAAGTAGAAAAAATCACAATATCAGACAAAAAACAAGAGTAAACAAGGTAACAGAAATAGAGGCAAACAAAAAATCTTACAAGCCCCAAGGTAGAAACACAAGTCACCAACTCCGCCAATGTTTCGGCACCAACTTGTTGCCTTTCTCAAGGGTACCTGTATCCTTGTTCCCATGGGTGATGGTGAGAGGGGGGAGATAGTGAGAGGGAGGGGGGTGATGGTGAGAGGGAGGGTGATTGTGTGAGGGAGGAGGGTGATGTGAAAGGGAGGGGGTGATGGGGGGGTTATGTGAGAGAGAGGGGGTGATGGTGAGAGGGAGGGAGGTGATGTGAGAGGGGGGGCGATGGGGGAACTTAATACCTTTTTTAAATTCCCTGGTGGTCCAGTGTGGGCTGCCTGGTGGTCCGGTGGCCATTAT